TTACTCTGATTGTGTTCCTCTTTACATTTTCAGCCACTTGCTTTATATATCTTAATACTTACACTAGTTAGAGCAAACTGCTAGAATAAATATTGCTCATACACATACACTTGCAGTTTCCTACTTTATGTCTAGATAAACAATTACATCATTTCTGTCTAAATAACTGGGATAGTTTCTGTCTCCTCACAGAACACAGGCTCAGGAGTCAATGACAGGTGTTCTAGTAAGCAAAATATGGGGTGTAGGGGACACAGACGGCCCACAGTTAGTCAGGACCTGATATTTAAGCAGTTTTGCAACATTAACACATGGCTACCACATTCACCTTGCTCATTGTCACCCCAGCCTACAGGAAAGGGGGAAGAGCACAGAGGGACAAACAGAGAGGTTTATGGGCCCAGCCTAGAAGCGGCACTCACTACTTTTGTTCACATTGCATTGGAGAACATTCCATTTAAGTCACAGGACCACACTCTTACTGTAAGAAAGAACAGAATGTATGGTGTATTTGAGCAGTCATATGCCCAGCTATAATTCTATTACTACAGAAGTGGAGACCAGATTTTAATGGACAGCTAGCAATTTCTCTATGGTGTTGTTTTTTGAATTTGTATGTAGATTTAGGCCACTTTTATTCTAGTTACAGATTAATACTTTTATTACTTTTAATGCATTGTCTGATATTAAAGTGGAGAGCTGCAATTATAATGCACCTGGAGACTGTCATTTTTCTTTTGTTTTCTATCTTGTGCTATATGGTCAATTTTCTGAACACCCCCACCCTTCCTCCTGGTAATTTTAAGTTACTTTTGTATTTGAAATGGTGAACTTTAAAAAACTTTTCTTCTTGATATATTAACTTTAAAAAACGAAGTGAATATCGAATTCTTCTGTGAAAGACTAGGAAATTAGCTCACTTATATTTCTTCCTCAGACCCCACTGAGTTTTGTCAGCCAGCTCTAGGATTTTTGTCCCAGTCCATTTGTTACATTACTTTAAATTGTGGTTTTTCTTTCAAAACATCTTTACATTCTTTTCTGTAAGTGTAAATCACATTAATTTTATACTTTCTATTAATTGCTATTAATTTTATATTTTGATGGATTAATTGGTCATAAATAGTCATTATGTATTAAGTTTTCTCTATTATTACACTCTTCAAATTGAGTCTGTTGGTTGACTGGATTTTGTCAAATGCTGTTTTCATGAAAGGTTCATAGTTGTGATTCCTGAGTTATTGCATATTTAAGAATTCATTTGCTGACCAAAAATTAATAAAATGCTAGTATTAATAGAAAAAAAAAGAATCCATTTGCCTTTACAACTGGTTGGCATAAAAATCTTAGGTCACACTTATTGAGTGACATTGAACTTGGTGTGGAATTGACCCCTAATGATAGGTATTTTTGTTCTAAACTTCTCCAAGTAGCTTATTTAAGATGTTTCAATGTTGCTCATTCTGTCAAGTTTTTCTGGAACATGACGTGCTCCCTTTATCTGAAGATTTAATTCTCCCTTATTTAGGGAAAACGTTATTATATCTTTTAATTCTTTTTTCTGTGCCAATCATACCTTTCTATTGATGGATGCCAATTTTATGTTGGATCAACCTCGTGTACACCGCCCCACCTTCTCAATTCTTTTCGATCTGCATTCACTGAGATCATCTAATCAAAAACCATTATATCAGAGACCTTTCTACAACCAGACTTAAATTAATAACCTTTGCCATATCCCCATCCTTATTTTTCTTCATAGCATTTATCATAACATGTCACTCTCGGTCCCCAATGCCAGCTAGAACATAAGCTCCATGAGATGAGCTTTGTCTTTTTTTCCATCATCATGCCAGAACAGTGTCTGGCAGAAAGCTGATGCTCAGTAAGTGCTTGGTCAAATTACCTCAAGCTTTCCGTATATGTCAGCAATTTAGCTTTTGGTTGGGCATATTTTGTTCTTTCCTTTTCTAATTTATGAAACTTGTTTCCCTAGCTCTATTTTTATTTCTGATTGTATTGTCATATTTTGTTGAGTTTCTCTTTCATTGATTTCTTTTCTCTTTCTTTTAGAGTACAGGGCATTTGTGCTGGAGGATGCTCTGTCTCCTAAAGTAAGTTTACATTTAGAACAGGTTCCATATGCTTTTTTTTCTGTATTATTTTTATATAGTTTACAGTTTCTTTCCATTCTTCTCATGATTGGCACAGTGAATTTGTGGGTGCCCAAGTAGAATGTGGGTAAACTTCTGAAATTTCTTCCCAAATTGAACTCCTTTGATCTCTCCTAGCTGTTTCCAGCTGAATCTCTTCCTCTTCGGCAATAAGTGAGCGCTAAAGTTTACCCTCTTAGGAAGAACAGTCTCATATGTAAGACACTGTCCTTGGAAACAGGATATGCCCTTGACTAGGCAGAACAAATTAAGGTTTCCTAGTATTAAAATAAAATTACTGGGGAAAAAGGATAGTCATCAAAGCCATTTACCATTGCCCATAAGGCCCCTCTCAGGCAACAAGACACAGGTCTGGGTTTTCAGACCATTTATTGTTGGAGCAACCAGTTCTGGGGGACCACGGTCACCCCTGCTCCTCATCTGCCTTCCTCCCAGCTGAAAAGTCAAAATGACCACTCAAAGCTCCTAGGAGGGAGGCATGACCATGGCAGTCATGCAGTTTGTACACGGCACAGTGCCCAACTAAGAGGGCAACGGGGGGCTGAAATCCAATCTACACCTGGCTCTCCAAGCCACAAAGCCTGGTATGAGGGTTTTTCTGCTCAGAGACAGGAACTTTTTTTTGCACAGACGCTAAACCTTCTACTCACAGTGCTGAGTGGGCCCAGAAAGAGTGCCTCTTCCTAAATCACACAGATGTCATGTGGGCTGGCAGTAGCCCTGCTGGAGAATAATGCCTGATGGTGGTGGGGGAGGAACCTCCACCCTACAAGGCCATTTTCCATCTTTTCCCCCTAGATGCTGACTCAACACTCATCTAATTCCCTACAAATGCATTACATTTTCATAATTTACCTACTGACCTTGTCCTCACCCTGCACAGCTTGTAGGAGGCCAGAGTATAAGAGCCAAATACAAATTCTCATGAGTCTTTTGTCTTCCTGCTGCTTTTAGGAGTTCATGGTGTGAGGCTGTACTGATTCCTTTGTTTTGCTGATCCTTTCTTCATTTTTCATTCATGTTTTTAGTTTCTGAGTCTGCTGCTTTTAGGAGTTCATGGTGTGAGGCTGTACTGATTCCTTTGTTTTGCTGATCCTTTCTTCATTTTTCATTCATGTTTTTAGTTTCTGAGATAGAGTAGTTTTATGATCTGGCCGCATAATAGGCTGCTACTTCCAGCCTCTCCTTGATTTTAGTGTGTTCCCTCTGTTCTGCTATGATTTTCCACTTTTATAAAATGCCATCTATTTAATATGCATGCTCACCAACGGCTAAAAGCATGCCTGAATCTACTCTTTAGAGTTCTGGTGAAAAGTTACATCTATTTAGATATTCTCTAAATGTTATTTGGTGTCCATAAGGCACTTCAAGCTTACCACATTTTGAAGATGACATCAAGTTAAACCCATACACTGGTTTTTTAAAATTGAAATATGACTGTTTCAGACTTAAATAAAATGGAAGGATATCTGGAAAACACCCTGTTTATTAAAATGGTGCTCTGGAAATGTAGTTAAATTTGATATTCAGTCAGGAGTTTTCAACAGACGTTGCTTGTATAATAAACTTACACAGTGAATCTGCCATTGTGATAGAGGAAGGTTTAAATCAGATTTAAATCTTGTCATGCCTGGATAAATGTGCTAATACTTTCAGTCAGTCTGTAGTACAGCTGCTAAAACATTATGGCTTTGTAGTCCAAATGGGACTTCTAAAATTCATATGAGTTTTGTGTTTTAATTCTTACTATATTTTGCTTTTCTAATTAGAAAACAGATACTGGCTTCTGTAGAGGTGAACACAAAGATTTACTGATCCCAATATATCTTTCAGAACAATAAATTTTAAATTTATCAAAACACAAAGTTGATACATATGTCCCAGATTCTGAATGCCTTCAATATGGGAAAACAAGAATTCTGCATATGTAACATTAAACAGGAAACAAACTCATTCAGGAAATATGCATTTGCAAGTGATGTTTGATCTCTACTAAGACAGTGACAGATTTCTGGCAACTCTGCTCAGCTAATCAGACTCTTTTTTAATTCTTAAAAATACAACATAGTTTGCTTTCCTCCAGATTTCAGCAAATATTAAACATTTCAGGGATTTTTTCTTTATTTCCAGCTTCCTTAGTTATGAAGTGTTAGTCCCTGATTTTCACTATATGAGCTTCATGTTTTTTTATGCTTGCTTTTCAAACTAGGTTCATCATGATCTTTTCATAAACCATCTTAATATATCAAGTCAAATAATTACCTACTTTATCATATCCCTTCCTTAAGATATTTGAAAAGGTCAGATTTTACCTCATTCTCAATTTTGCCAACTAGCACATATATGACTTTTTGTGCAAGATCTAGGCAGCATAAGTTATGAGACATGTGCCTGACTCCAGACTTTTCCATGTGTTCATACATCCATTTATCGATACCAGTTTGACTTGTTACTGAAATCACTTGCCCGTACTTTCTTAGATCCTTTTGAGACCTTACAAATGGGGTATATTCTTTACGTGAATTTGAGACTTCTCAGACAAAACTCCATAATAAGAGTGGTCAGAATAATGACTCTCTTTGGGGCCAGGGTGCAAACTAATGATTTAGCTGCATTGTAACATTCAGTAAGGAAATAAATTAATAAAATTTAAATGTTTAATCTGCTTTCTGTTTTGATAAAAGTTTAAGTAAATTTGGTAACAAGATATGTGTAATGGTAGGCACCATGGATTCTCTTCCATTCCATATCCAGATAAATTAAATGAAAATATTTAGGAGTAATAAACCTAATATTGTGTACATGAGAAAAAAGAATGTGTCCAGATATATTTATTAAATCAGAAGTAAAATTTAATAACTTTCAATTTTGTTTTTATTCGTACAAGCTAGGTTGACAGTCCATACTTCCAACAATCTTATACATACTATTTTTAGTAAGAGCTCAAAGAAAATGTTTCATTAGGTATAGATTCATTACACTGTATTTCAATTCAACACCTACAGTTAGCACGAATAACAAAACCATAATGATGTTTACAAGGTAAAAATTGTATAATAGCTCTGTATACTAAAATATTACCAATAATGCAATTTTTGAGAATCAAAATATCATTTGGCTGATTTTGCTTTTATGATGCATATTAATATCTTCTTCCAGCATGACTAAATGCCACTAAAAGAAGTCTATCATTCTTTCAATATCTTTTCATTCTCAGTATGCATTAGTAGTTGGCAAACTCATTTTAATGGCATTAAGGTGGGAATTTAGTCCAAAGAGCAAAGATTCATTTTGATAAGCTTTTTGATCATAAAATATGCAGGGGTAAACTTTCAATTCACAAACTATTTCTATTGTTCAGCAAAGATTACTATTATAGTTGACATAATCATGAAAACTTTTTTCACTTGATTAATAGCACTTCTTACCATTAGATTGGCTATGGCATGCAAGAAGTCCAAGAACTCAGCCAAGGGCATGCAACCACCTCACCAGCATTATCATTCTATACATTAATGGCTACCTTGGTTAAGGGTCAATACAACACTTAAATACTTCTAGAAAATGTGTCTCAACAGAACTTCTTATGCCTTCCTCACTAGCTAACCAGACACGGGCCATCATTGTTTGGCTTGACTTCTCCTTCCAGAAGCAAATTCATCACAACCTTTGTCAAATAGCTGCATGTTCCTCTTTTTCCCAGGGGGGGGGTGTTGTAAAAGGAAGTCATGTCATCCTACAAAGGAAAACAGTAAGCAAGTCATTTGATTTTTTTGTTTGGGAAGAGTTGACAGGTAAAATCAGTGTCAGCCTAGGGGGAAAAATAAATTCACAGAATGATTTCCTTGTGGAAAATAGGAGCTTCTTAAGTTTTTCTTTCATTTTCCTGAAGTTTTATTCTCAGCCCATAAAACAAAGTCAAACATTTTTAGTATTCTCCTCTTTACTGATAATTTTTATTTACTTAGGGAACCTTTTTACAGATGAGCATAAAATATTAAACAGAGAGCCTGGAAGGGACTCTATTAGGTAGTACACAGCACCAACATAGCTGCTACATATTCCCATCCTCCCCAGGAATTAATTTTATAGCCTTTTGGAATCTATGGCTCCTCTCTGGAAAAAAACATTTTAACTGCTAACTCTATAAAGGAAATTTATCTCTTCCCAGATTTTTTAGTCAGAACTTCATAGCTGAATTGACTAGCAATTAACTAAAAGTAACACTAAATCCTCAAATAAGACAGACTTCCTCTTGCTCCTCAAGTACTCTATTTTGTACTCTGTAAATCTGTTTTGTATTAAATGATAAAAGATTAGGGGTAATTTTGAAGAACTAAGACAATGAAAATGTTCTACAAAAAGCTATTTACTTACTTGTTTTTCAGCATCCTTTAGTCGACTCTCATCTTTTTGAAATTCATGAAATGCTTCTTTCACCAGTTTGTCTAGATCTACTTTGTCTTGAAACTCTAGCTCAGGATTTCTTTCCAGTACAATGGAAACAACCATCAGTAACTAGAAGAGACATTGAAAGCCAATTATATGAACCATAAAAGACACACAGTCTGGACATGTTTTCATTCTTTACCTAGATTGGTGGATGATCCCTGTATTCCATAGTGTGTTGTGCACCATGTTAGGCGTTAGGATCATCTATGGATGGAATCTTCCTACTCTTGTAAATTAGTAGCATAAGTTCTGTTTGGAAACTGCACACTTCTATTTACATTGTGTGTGTCCTTGGAGTGGTATCAAGATTTTTTAGCCTCTTAAATAGAACTAATAGTTTAGAAAAGTGAGTTTCCTAACCCTGTCTATAATAGATTGTGCCTTATTCACTCGGTGTTTGAACTCTTTCTGGCCTTTTGGCATTGATACATAGTGGGGTAAGACCAAATGAGTGTCCAGTGGAGCAGAGGCTGCCCTAGGTGACAGGCCACAAAGCCAGGAAAGCCAGGTGAGTTAAGTTCTAGATCTAGGCTCATGATCAAATAACTTGGAGCTCAGCACTGTATAATGAGTCTGTGACATCACAATAGTTTCTCAGGGAATCGTAATGTTTTCAAAAATACACCTAACTCTGACCTTTTTATGACATGAATACTTTTTTATTTATATAAACAACCTTAGTTTTAATGCATCATCCTATTGTTTGGCTCTCCCATACAGTAATCCTAAGTAGTAACATTCATTTTAGATAACAAACTATTAAACACAGAAATTGTATCTGAGTATATGATGCTTGGTAGAGATTTTCTGATGATAATTATGGTTCCTACTTTTGGAACAGGAAAAAGATCTCATAATTCCCAGTTTGAGAATTTTACTGACTGTACTTTAAATGCTTCCCAAACAGAACCTGAAAGAATGAAAGGAAACACTTCGAGAAAAATCCAGGGGTCCCAATGTGAGAGAACTTGGGGCAGGGCTTTAGTGGGGAGTACAAATTTTTGCCCCAGTTCTAAAGGAAAATTTCTTCTGACCTTATTTTGGTCAACAAGAAGGATCGCTGTGACCGCTGTTGGTCCCAGCTGCTGGGCACTGGACACTGAAAGGCTAACATCACAAGAAAGGGAATCCTAATAATCCCATCTTTTCCTGACCCCAGTTTCTAGCCTTATTCCTACCTGTTACAAAACTGATTAGCTGAGGTGGTTTCTGAATCCTGCCACTTCAAAGATAAGGCTGACTGTCGCTAGGCTCTGGCTGTAGCTCTAGTCACACTGGATTTTAGGAGGTGCCACATATAGTTCATCACTCAGCAACTTTGGTATCAGTAAGATACATTACCCACCTTAAGAAAAACAAAGTCTAATGGAGATATTTCCAGAGAAAGACACAAAAGGAAGATGAGCTATAAATTAAATCCATTCATTCAGGAATTTGCTATAATTTGGTATAATATTTTAAAATGGCAAATGAGCACATGTACACACACACACAGGCAATGTATATTTTAGCACTTAACTTCATAGAGCAATGATACAGCACAGAATTACATGTCCTCTTTTTCACAGAGAGATGTTTATAAAGATGTCCCTCAAAATATCAACACTGAAAATCTAGTACTAGCAAGTGTAGGGAAAAATTTTTGCTTTCTTTTCTATAATTTTCTGAATTATTGAAACATTCTACAATAATCATGCATTATTTCTGTAAACAGAAAATACTAAAAATAAAACAGAAAAAGGTCACTTCCTCTCTTTTTAGTGTTGTTACCCTTGCTATGGAGGGGTGAGTGTGTAACTGGAAAAGCTGGAGAGTCAGTCTTCCCACCCAGATGTATTTAAGATGTTTGAATTGTTCATGTGCCTTGACTTGGGTCAAGGACATCTGCCTTCCCCAGGACTCTATATATAGGTTGAGGAGTGGAATTCCTGGTTTCTTGGGCAGTGTTTATATACTGGTTTTCAGGGAGCAAGCATAAAGTACTTCTTCAGCAATCAACATTTCTAAATACAAACCTCCACAATGATCTGTCTGTACTTTGGCTGGTCAATATTTCCCAACATGTCTTCAACAAGAAGAGAAAAATTCATCTCATACATGGTCATATCTGACAGGGTTGGCTGCTGAAAAAAATAACATTAACATGCTGCCTTGTTATACTCTGGTTTCTACTTAATAGAGGAATTTCAGTTTCAAGTCAATAATATTTTCCAGTTTCTATAAATCCTTAGTTAGACAACAGCCCAGCATCTGAATTTTAAATATGTCAAACTACTGGAGCCAACTGCTGACTATTATGATAAACTTTCTCTCCTGTTTTTAGGGAAAGAGACTATATTATATATTGTATTTTGTTAGTGTCTTTAAGGGAAAAGGACTATTTTAGAAAGCTATTTCAAAACACAAATGAAACAGCCAAAAATAGAGACAACAAATAAGAGTACATATTGCTTGCAGAATTAACACAAGAAGTTATGTTTGCTGTCAGACTAGAATGTAAGTCAGTTGCTAGTGAATTCATATAATTTCTTTGGCAGGTCCTTTTGGAGCTGGCAGCATAAAAATGCATGCAAATAAGCAAAAACAACATTATGTGCAGAAAGGGCAAGAACACAGAAAAAGCAAAACAGAAAGAATATTCTCTACCCTTTGTTTCATTTAAAATAGGAATATTCCATTGTCTTCCATTCACTTTTCACAAACCAAATGAAAGGAGAAAATAGACTCAAATCCAAATCCAAATCCAAATCTGGGCACAGTGGATAACCTTCAAGGGTTGGAGGAAAGGCTCTCTAAATGTTAGGCTTGTATGGTAGAAAGCAGATGGAGCCGCCAGAGTTACTACCAGAGACGATGAGTCATACCTACTGCCTTTATCCCAATGATATTTACAGTGATCTTAATCATAGCCGTACCACTCAAAATGGGACCCAGAAGGAATGTCCCCTTTCAATTAAATAACAGCAAAGTTGTTCGGCCCGTATAACCCCTAAGTCTTAAATATGCTCCATTTATTATATTCTACATACAATACAATCCACGTTAATGTTTACAGGTAGTACCTAACTTGGGGGAAAAGAAGCTTGGTTCCTGAACACAGTAATTAAAGCACAGAAATCAAAATTGTTTAGATGTGTAGCAATGGAATTAATGGGGTTACAGAAGGAAAGGAAAACTCTTTCACGGTTTCACATAAATTTCCTTTTAGTGTATATAATTTGAAAAGTTGACCTACCTACCATGCAACCATGAAACCTAGGGAAGAGACATCAAGTTGCCTTATCTCCCACTCTGAAAAGGCTTCAGGCAGGCAGTGCAGCCGAGAAGAGGAAAGGCTCAGAAGGGGGAGGGGTCACACTCTGGGTCAGCTACTTCCTAGACAGGTGACCTTGGGAAAATCACTTAGCTGTGCCTTAGTTACCTCACCTGTCAAATGGGAATACAGTACCTACCTCAAAAGATTGTTGTGAGGACTGAGAAAGCACTTAGAAAAGTGCCTGGCATATAAAAAAATGTATTTACACATACATTAATATGTATTTGTTGTTAGCAAAGACAGGATACTTAATAGAAGTGGCTAGGGAATCAGACAACTAAAATCTGAAAGGGTCTGCCTGGGAAAGAAGCTAACAAAGGTTGCCACAGTCCATTGAACATAGACACAAGGCCTAGCAGAAGACAGGCCATGAACAATGGAGGTCTGTTCTTTGCTCAGAGAAGACAGTGCTGCCACATGCAACCGTCACAGAGCATCTGGGAAAGAGAAGGGACACCTGTACTGGCAACCAAATACAACCACCCAACCACCCAACAGTTTGTGAATAGCATAAAGAACACTTTTTAAAAAGCTTTTATTCATTTTTTAAAATAAGTAATAGGTTGACATAGTTCAAAATTTGCAAGTTTAAATAGGGTTTTCAATGAAAAGCCCACCCTGTTCCCCAGACCACAATTCTTTTCCCCAAAGGCAAAGAAAAGAATGCTACCAGTTTCTGGTGGGTCCTTCCAGAAATACTCGATGTACCTATAAACAAAGTAAGTGTGGATGTTTGTATTTTTTTGTATGAAAGACCCTCATCAAAAATAATTTGGTTTATGTTTCAACAGTACAAACAAATATGGTACTCTATTTCTAAAAGGCCTAATTATTCATGTTTGTGTATAAGCAGAATGATTTAGATGCCTGGATAAAGTAAAATAATCAAATGAAAGAAGTAGGTCAGTTTACATGACTTGGGAAACCACTGATGGAGGGGACACTAATTCACATGGACCAAAGTTAAGTTACATCTCAGGTAAATTTAGTGATTATCTAATAATCTAAAAAAGTTGCACATCTTTTACATTCATTGCAATTCACAAATAATAATTTCCTTAATCACAGCATTACTAAGTTACTATGCTTCTTAAGCCTGATTTAGTTTTGGCTTTTGAATGTATCTTTACTGTTTGTGAGGTCCCCCATGAAGGGTCCCCACCAGTAAGATGGCAAACTTCTGGCTTCTCTTCAGGGTCCTCAGTTCCCGCTGGCGCCACCTGAAGCCCAATCACCTCTCACCCCCCTCCCAATCCCAGCACCTAGCCAACAGCCACCAGCCCCGTAGAAGTGACACCTCAATCAATTCATGCCCCTTCCTATATAACCCAGCACCTTTCCCTAATAAAGCGGAACTCTCCAGTGAATTGCTGCTATGTGTCGCTCCTTTCCTTTCATTGGTGCCGAAACCCGGGAGACGGGACACCCCAACTGGGCCCCGTCTTCCCCCCGACACCAGCAGCAGCTTGCCCTCGTCCTCTTTTTCCGGCGCTGGCTCATCACACTCACCACTCCTCTCTGGCCTTTAGGTAAGTTTTCCCCCCGGAGTGGGCCACTCTTCCCCGAGCTATCGCAGTGCCATTGACCGTGATCGTCCGGCAAGGCCCTGACGCTCGGGGATGAGGAGGGAACGCTCCCCGCCTCAGGCCTTCACGGCTGCGGCGGACCCTCAGGCCCCTCCTCCAAAAGCCATAAATCCCCGCCTCAAGCCTTTACGGCTGCGGCAGACGCTCAGGCCCCTCCTCCGACAGTCAAACGCATTCACCATCCCTTCCATCAGTGCTGAAAGTTTTTAAGCAAAATTTCCCCGGGGTGGGCCACTCTTCCCCGAGCTATCGCAGTGCCATTGACCGTGATCGTCCGGCAAGGCCCTGACGCTCGGGGATGAGGAGGGAACTCTCCCCGCCTCAGGCCTTCACGGCTGCGGCGGACCCTCAGGCCCCTCCTCCAAAAGCCATAAATCCCCGCCTCAAGCCTTTACGGCTGCGGCGGACGCTCAGGCCCCTCCTCCGACAGTCAAAAGCATTCACCATCCCTTCCATCAGTGCTGAAAGTTTTTAAGCAAAATTTCCCCGGGGTGGGCCACTCTTCCCCGAGCTATCGCAGTGCCATTGACCGTGATCGTCCGGCAAGGCCCTGACGCTCGGGGATGAGGAGGGAACTCTCCCCGCCTCAGGCCTTCACGGCTGCGGCGGACCCTCAGGCCCCTCCTCCAAAAGCCATAAATCCCCGCCTCAAGCCTTTACGGCTGCGGCGGACGCTCAGGCCCCTCCTCCGACAGTCAAACGCATTCACCATCCCTTCCATCAGTGCTGAAAGTTTTTAAGCAAAATTTCCCCGGGGTGGGCCACTCTTCCCCGAGCTATCGCAGTGCCATTGACCGTGATCGTCCGGCAAGGCCCTGACGCTCGGGGATGAGGAGGGAACTCTCCCCGCCTCAGGCCTTCACGGCTGCGGCGGACCCTCAGGCCCCTCCTCCAAAAGCCATAAATCCCCGCCTCAAGCCTTTACGGCTGCGGCGGACGCTCAGGCCCCTCCTCCGACAGTCAAACGCATTCACCATCCCTTCCATCAGTGCTGAAAGTTTTTAAGCAAAATTTCCCCGGGGTGGGCCACTCTTCCCCGAGCTATCGCAGTGCCATTGACCGTGATCGTCCGGCAAGGCCCTGACGCTCGGGGATGAGGAGGGAACGCTCCCCGCCTCAGGCCTTCACGGCTGCGGCGGACCCTCAGGCCCCTCCTCCAAAAGCCATAAATCCCCGCCTCAAGCCTTTACGGCTGCGGCAGACGCTCAGGCCCCTCCTCCGACAGTCAAACGCATTCACCATCCCTTCCATCAGTGCTGAAAGTTTTTAAGCAAAATTTCCCCGGGGTGGGCCACTCTTCCCCGAGCTATCGCAGTGCCATTGACCGTGATCGTCCGGCAAGGCCCTGACGCTCGGGGATGAGGAGGGAACGCTCCCCGCCTCAGGCCTTCACGGCTGCGGCGGACCCTCAGGCCCCTCCTCCAAAAGCCATAAATCCCCGCCTCAAGCCTTTACGGCTGCGGCAGACGCTCAGGCCCCTCCTCCGACAGTCAAACGCATTCACCATCCCTTCCATCAGTGCTGAAAGTTTTTAAGCAAAATTTCCCCGGGGTGGGCCACTCTTCCCCGAGCTATCGCAGTGCCATTGACCGTGATCGTCCGGCAAGGCCCTGACGCTCGGGGATGAGGAGGGAACGCTCCCCGCCTCAGGCCTTCACGGCTGCGGCGGACCCTCAGGCCCCTCCTCCAAAAGCCATAAATCCCCGCCTCAAGCCTTTACGGCTGCGGCAGACGCTCAGGCCCCTCCTCCGACAGTCAAACGCATTCACCATCCCTTCCATCAGTGCTGAAAGTTTTTAAGCAAAATTTCCCCGGGGTGGGCCACTCTTCCCCGAGCTATCGCAGTGCCATTGACCGTGATCGTCCAGCAAGGCCCTGACGCTCGGGGATGAGGAGGGAACTCTCCCCGCCTCAGGCCTTCACGGCTGCGGCGGACCCTCAGGCCCCTCCCCAAACAGCCATAAATCCCCGCCTCAAGCCTTTACGGCTGCGGCGGACGCTCAGGCCCCTCCTCCGACAGTCATAAATCCCCGCCTCAGGCCTTCACGGCTGCGGCCGACTCTCAGGCACCCCCCTCCAACAGCCATAAACGAGGTGACTCCTTTGTGGATGAGAACGCTCCCTTTTCCCCCCCTCCTCCTTCTGCTCCGTCCGCCGAAAACGCCTAGCGCTAGGTACCTCGTGACTCCGGCACTCTGCCTTCTTAGGGAAGTCTGGGTGA